AGAAGCATGATAGCATGCTGTTTCACCAATGTCTCAGAGAAGCCAACATGGAACGTTTTATTCAGGTCTATGATGAATCTGTTTCAAAATAAGCAGGATGCAGTGAAAAATATAATGTGGTGAGAGAACCTACTAGGATAAAGTAATCATGAAAAATGTAATGTGGTGGGAGAACCTACTAGGATAAAGTGATCACAAGAGTCTTTTCTCTGGAGAAGACATTTAAGTTGAGAGGGAGGAGTGTCCCTGTAAGGAAACACAATGAGCGAAATGCCTGAGATAGAATGAGCTACTGTTTCTCAGGAGCAAATGGTGGCTAGAGCTTGGTAAACAGAAGAGATGAGATAGGAGACGTACTCAAGGGGCCAGCTCACCTAGGGCTTTGCAGGCCATGGTTCGGGCCCTGGGTTTTATTAACAATGATTGGGTTGGCCATTGAGAACTTATTAAAAAAAATGATTCTGTCTTCTGTGTTGAAAAATAGGTTTGAAGGGGCAAACCAATCACATAAGCCAATTTAGGGGACATTGTGGAAGTCCAGGCTAGATGTTTTCTCCTGTTCCAGGAGAAGGATATCATACTTGGTAGAGAGTCAGCAAATAAAAGGCAGACCATCAACTGAATGGACTGACACAGTGGCTGCTACAACGGTCACAAACAACAGATCAGTGTTTGTGAAGATGGCGCAGAACTGGATAGTGACCCATTCTGTTGTAGGGTTGCTATGAATTGGAACTGATGCAACAACACCATCAACAAGGCTAGATATAATGGTATATTGCCTAGGATGAGGCTTCTTAAGGAAGTCTCCCTGACTTTCTCCAGCTCAGCCTTGGTCTGTAAAGTCCCCAACCCCCATACCACCTGGTATGATTCATATGTAATTTATCCTATTATGTTTCAATACTGTTTCACATATCCTGCCAAGTTTGTGATTCAGCACCCAAGCCTATCTCTTTGCCTTCCATCTAATGACCATTCCATAAATATCTACTGAATAGGTAAATACATATATTCATTGGTTCTCTGCAATCACTGTGCCACAGAATCACCTGGGGGAGATCCAGGGATATGAATTCCAGTCATACCACTAGAGGTTTCAATTTGAGTTGTTGTTGTTAAGTTCCGTTGAGTTGGTTCTGATCCATAGCGACCCTATATAGATTTTCTAAAGAGAAGCTGGTAGACTTGAACTGCTGACCTTGCAGTGCAAACCAACTTTTCCATCTAGCACATTAACCCACAGCACCACACCAGGACTCAAATTGAGTTGTTGTTGTTGTTAAGTGCCATTGAGTCAGTTCTGAACCATAGTGACTCTATATAGGGTTTCTGAGGAGTGACTGGTGAGCCTGAACTGCCGACCTTGCAGTTTAAATGGCTTTGCAGTCTAGCGCATTAAGCAGTATGTAACAAAAGATCCTAGGGGATTCTGATAAACACAGAGCCAGAATGTAGAACCAGGACACTAGGCTGATTCTAAGTGATTTGCAATTTTACCTGTGAGTGTTATCCCCACCCCACCTCTTTTAATGCTGTCTTTTCTTCATGAATGTTGAGGGCACAACAGACATGTCCTGGTTATCTGATTTAAAAAAGTATTTAAAGTAACAAATATGGAAGTCTATAGAATCCTTGGAATCCTGGTGTGGCATTGTAGGATAAACACTGGACTGTTAACTACAATTTCAGGGTTTCAAATCATCAGCTGCTCTTTGGAAACCCTATACATGGTTGTTCATAGGAACCAATTCAGTAGCACTTAACAACAACATAGAATCCTTGGTGGTACAGTGGTTGAGAGCTTGACTGTTATTAACTGGGAGGCTAACGGTTGTAAGCCACCAATAGTTCCACAGGAGAAAGATGAGAGTCTACAGTGCAGGGATAGTTGTACACATAGAACTATATCTAATAAGAGATCCAAGTAATTTGAGTGTATCTCACAAGGAAATGCTATCAATGAGCTTTCCTTCTGAAGGAGGAAGTAAATCACTGTTTTTCACTAGACATCTGGAGTTCAATTTATTGAATTTTTTTTTTTTGGAGGGGGGAGCATTTCTGGACTTTAAGAACACCAAAACAAGGAAGGAATTACATTTGACTCCTTCAAGCATGGAAATCAAAAACCCTGGCAATGGTGCGCTTTATGCAAGTGTTTTGATTTGAGAATGGAATGGTCTTTATTTAAGTATTTAATAATATAATTTTAAGGCACCTGTTTCAAAATAGAAACTAGGATGTTAGAGATAATAACAATAAACAAAAATTAAACCAAACTGGGCTCAGTGCCTAGTAAAGCTAGCCAGACTCTGAGAACTGTGCAAGGGATAAACTGGTAAGAGAGAAAAGGCAGCAATGGATAGGAGTGGTAACCACCTCCATTAAAAATGATAGGTCTTCAGTGTGATTGCTATTGCAGAAATCTGTGGAGACATCCGTCATGTAGGTGGGGTACCTGCCCTTCTCATATCAATGAAGAACTTCCAATGAACTTCCCTTCCTAACCATCAATTCTAAACATATCAATAATATACAGTGGTCCTAGATTATTTTTGAAGTTACATAATGCTATAAGTTACATGGAAACAAATGGACCAGCAGTAAAAACAGGCAATCACAACAGCTTTAAATAAAGTTAAAAGAAAAACTTTCGTGTTTCCCAGGATGCCTAAATGCCATATGATTTACATAAACAAAGGAGGAAATCCTCTTTGTGTGTTTAGGGGTGTGTGTCTAATACAGGAACTCATGCTTTCCTGTTATTGAAAAGCATTCTTTAATCTGTTAAGCACATTTTAGGACCTGCATATGTTCCAGGTATGTTGTTTCCTTTAACATTAAAACCCAAGAGCAGGATGCATCTATGAGAGAAACCTATCTGATCCTTCTTTTGTTTCGTAGGAGACACACAAAAAATAGCTAGCTTGATGGACAAAGCCCTGGGAAGACTGATAAGATGTCCTGAACTTAGGAGAATAGATATTCCTAATTAACAGTTTTACACATGGAGATATAGACCAGAGAAATCATTTGTAAATAGAAGATCATTAATTTTTTCTCTCATCCTAGGTGTTAAGAGAATGCTAAGGTTTTAACCATAAAAATAAATGTAATTGGTGTGAAACTTTCAGAAGCTTTTCTCCAAATAAAACTGAAATAAAGAGTAATAAAGCAAAGTGTTATTTGAAGTTTAAAAACATATATATTTGCTATATTCTGACTGTAGTAGCAAAGGGAGAAGAGTTTCTGGAGGCTATGCAAACTGTTTTCAGTTCTGGAACTGGTGGATTCTCACTAGTTGTAATGACATAACGCCTTACCTTTGGTTCTTTTCTCTGGTCCCTGCTTTCCTGCTTTAGTGATCCCAAACATTGAAACTTCAGTATGCTACGCTATGCATTCAAGAGTCTTATTACCACCAACCATGATGGAAGTAGGTGCTTGAAATCCTTCATTCCTCAAGAACTCTTTTGTCATCTGTTGAGCAGAGTTACTTCAATGTGTCAATGTGTTACTGACACCTGTATATGCTTATGTCACTGATGCACCATCTTCAGAAAGTCAGTGCTTGAGGCTGCAGTTGTCACAACTAATAGTGCTTTTAACTTTACCTACTTGGTAAAGATGGTAGTTGAAATGATAGTAACACCATTTCTGTTAAATATTAGTAATTCATACAGTTAGGACTCATGAGGAACTTCTAAGAAAAACTCTTTTAAGATACTGAATTATATCTCCTACCTCGAGGCTAGAGAAGTAAGAAAACAGAAATATTCAGGATAACTCTTTCCTGGTGCCTAATATCTCACATTAGTGTAAAGTCCAAGAGGTACTGCATCCTCAGCATGAAAGCAGGTATGGGAAGAACTTGACCAAGGCTGGGAGCAGGAATCTTCCTGCCCTTACAGAAATTGGGACTTGGGAACTCTTGTGTTGGGATATAATAGAATATCAAGTTCATTCATAATCACGTACAAACTAGATGCAAACTTGTTAAGTGCCTTCGAGTTGATTTCGACTGATAGCAACCCTGTATAGGGTTTCTGAAGAGCAGCTAGTGGTTTTGAACTGCCAACCTTGGGGTTCGCAGTTAAGTGCTGATCCTATAGCACCACACCAGGAGTCTTCAGATACAAACCAGATGACATATTAAGGAGAAATAGTAAAAGTTTTCTGTTTTTGATTTTGTGTTGCATGAGTTTAGTCCTTATTTTATCACTAAAGCCTGAAATATTTACATTGGACTATAAATTAGAAACTGATGTTTTAAGTGTCATTGAATTGGTTCTGACTCACAGTGACCCTGTATAAGGTTTCCAAGTAGGGGCTGTTGGGTTTACATGGCCAACTTTGTAATTTCCCATGGGAGCCAATGACTCTCATTCCCTTTAAAATTCTGCCCTTCCCAGTGGCGCAGCAGGATAACCACAAAGTCGGTTTAAACCACAAGATCGGCAGTTCAAACTCACCAGCCGCTCCTTGGAAACCCCATAAAGGATTGCTATGAGTTGAAACAACAACAAGCCTCTGTTCAAAGTGTTAATGTTGCTGTGTGCTGTCCAGTCAGTTCCAATGCATAACGATCCTCTACTGGGTTTCCTAGAGTGACTGGTGGGTTTGAACTGCCAACCTTGTGATTAGCAGTCCAGTGTTTATCCTACAGTGCCGTACCAGGGCCCATTCAAGGTATTTGGTAGTATTTAATAAGGTTGTTTTCATGTGAAAGGACAAAGACATAAATGAAACAGCCGTCACAAGTGTAAACTGCTTGAGAGCAGGGATTATAACTCCTATTTGTTTTGAACTCACCCTCATCAAACAATCACACATTCATATTCCTTTATATTCTTTCTCTTTGTCCTCTCTCCCTTCTCCTATGTCTCTCTCTCCCACACACACACATGCACACTAAGTGCCAGATAGAAAAAACAGTAAACGGGGAAACAAACTGACCTGCAGCCCTAATAATCTAGGGGACCTTTTTTTTTTTTTGGCAGTGACAAACAAGAAACCTACACAAGCATCCATCACGAAGGTCAAACAGTTTGAAGGCTCCACGTCTTTTGTTCGGAGATCACAGTGGATGCTTGAGCAGCTTCGCCAGGTTAATGGTATCGATCCTAATCGGGTGAGTGACTTGTTCAATGCTGAGCAAAGGAATTCTCTCTGAAGATGACTCTTTCTAATTGACCTTGGTGGCAGTGGTGGTAGTTTTTATCATTTTTACCAAGACTACTGCTCAATCTCAGTTATATGACTAAGACTTACAATTCCTTATAAATCTTTTCATCTTGTTTGATGGAGGAACATAAAACCATTTATAATGAAGAAATACTGCCTCCAGTAATATGTTCATCAGCATTCATAGTGCAAAAGAAAAAAGTTCAGATGATAATATCCATGGTTATCAATATTCATTAAGGTTTCATCTATCTCCTAATACACTAGTGGTAAAGTTTACTCCAAAAGAAAATGAAGTAAATGAATGGCAACTTTATAAAAATTATGCAGTAGGAATCCATTGCATTTAGCACACATTTTATGGTAGCTTATGTATTCAAATTATACCCCCATTTGCTTACACACTCTCACATCCATAATGTTAATAATGAACAATAATAATTGCAACTATATTCTACATTTTACTGGAGATGTTTTTTCTGCCAAAGTTTAGGGGCAAAATTAATATAGTTCAGTAATCAGAACCTGGAAGAATACTTTCTTCTTCCAATTGTTGTTGTACCATTGAGTCAGTTCTGACTCATAGCGACGCTGTATTGAGTATCTGAGGAGCAGCTGGTGGGTTTGAGCTGCTGACCTTGTGGTTTGCAGTCTGGTACTGATCCACAGAACTATACCAGAAGTCCTTTTGCAATTCTGAAGGCAGTAACACATGGTCTGAATCCAATACAAATCTCTATGTTTAGTTGGATTATAAAATCTATCATTATAGCAATGTTGTTGTTGTTGTTGTTAAGTGCCATTGAGTTGGTTCCGACCAATAGTGACCCTATATAGGATTTCCGAGGAGCAGCTGGTGAGCTTGAACTGCCGACCTTGCAGTTCAAACAACTTTGCAGTCTGGCACATTAACCCACAGCGCCACACCAGGACTCCTCATTCTAGCACTACATGGCCTGAATTCTGATGCAAGTCTTTATATTTAGTTAGGAGCTCTGGTAGCGTAGTGGTTACGAATCGGGCTGCGAACCTTAAGGACAGTGGTTCGAAACTACCAGCTGCTCCGCGGGAGAATGATGAGGCTTTCTACTCCTGTAAGGATTTACACCCTTGGAAACCCTGTACAGGGTCGCTATGGGTTAGAACCGACTCGACGGCATTTAGCAACAAACACAACAACATTCCTTGGAAGCCAGGATGGCTAGACTTTGTCTCTCATACTTTGACATGTTGTCAGGAGGGACCAGTCTCTGGAGAAGGTTATCATGTTTGGTAAATGGAGGGTCAGAAAAAAAAAGAGGAAGACCCCTAAGGAAGTGGATTGGCAAAGTGGCAGGCAATGGCCTCTAGTATACCAACCATTGTGAAGTAGGCCAAGGACCAGGCAGTGTTTTGTTCTTTTGTGCATAGGGTTACTATGAGTTGGTACCAACTCGACGGCACTTCTCAATAACAACCTATGAGGCTATAGCATCTATAATGCTAATTATATCTATAATGTAATAATATGAGGCTATAGCATCTATAATGCTAATTGTAATGGATACCTGTAAGTACTATAAGATATGGAGTTTGCTTGATAAGCAGAAAAATGTATACTCTCCATGTACCTGTGTGCTAATAACCAAGATGAGCCTTATGATTTTTGTCTTTGAAAACTATGTGATCCTTTATATGTCTTTAAACAGACTTGAACTGAAAGCAACAATTTTTGTAGATTGAAACCACTAGGTATTTCACTATCTCTTTCAGGATTCTGCAGAGTTTGATTTGTTGTTTGAAAATAGTTTTGATCAGTGGGTAGCCAGCACAGCCTCAGAAAAATGCACCTTCTTCCAGATCCTCCACCATACCTGCCAGCGGTACCTCACGGACAGGAAGCCAGAATTTATCAACTGCCAATCCAAAATCATGGGAGGTGAGTGGCCTTTTGTGTGGCAGTGGTCATCTTTAAACTCACTTTTAGATAAAAAGGTAGATGCTTACCAGAATAATTTAAAAAACAGAAAGGAAAAAAAATGAACTCTAAAGAGTTCATCATTTACTAAATCTTGACACATAGTATGGTTTCACTCTTACTCTAAAGCTGGTCTTCTTAGCAAAATTAAGCTCTTAGTTAAGAGTTTTTGTATTTTGAGAAAAAAAGCTACCTCTTTATTAGAAAAACCTTTGAGTTGTACAGATGTTGTCTCTTTTGTTGAATGATAACTTGTGCCATTTGTTCCTTGAATTGCACACAGAGCTGAGTTAGGACAATGTCAGCACTGGCAACATGATGAGGACTCTCTAGAAGGGGACACATGTCTTTTAGGTGACATTTCTTTTCAAGGAATTGGAACTGTATTAAAAATATAAAGGCCTTGCTGATTACTCCAGGTTTTAGGGAAGAATATTTATATCATTGGTCTTGATCTGTTCTTTTGGTCTTGAAAGACACGAAAGTGCTTCAACTTTAAATATTAATCAAATGTCAAATGAAGTACATGTTGTTGTTGTTGTTTTTGTTGTCATTAAGTATCATCAAATTGGTTACAACTCATAGTGACCCTGTATAGGGTTTCCAAGGAGTGACTGGTAGGTTTAAATCATCAACCTTTCAGTTAACAGTCCGGTACTTATCCTACCACACCATACCAGTACCCCAAAGATCATATGTTAGACACATTATATTTTCTTTTGAGCTGTATATATCTTTCATCAGAACATGGGGCAGAATCCATTATTCATTCCTAATAACTGATGTACACAGCTCCATTTTTCCATGAATTTGCTAGATGCTATATGGAGAACGGAGTCCTGGTGTGGTGCTGTGGGTTAATGCACCAGAGACTGCAAAGCCATTTGAACTGCAAGGTTGGTGGTTCAAGCTCACCAGCCACTCCTCAAAAACCCTATCCAGGGTCACTATGGGTTGGAACCGACTCAATGGCACTTAACAACAACAACAACAACATATGGAGAATACATCGTCCAGTTCTTCATTTTCCTCTGAAGTATATACTCTTAGACAGAAAGTTCCTTATATCATAAGAGCCTTGAGAGGTCTTTCTTAAGCATTAATGCAGAGTGTTTTATTATACTCTCTCTATATAGCGCTAGACATATAAGAAGAGGTGATGAGTGGTGCATATATTCTTCAGAGTGGCCACATCCTCTGCTACAAAACTGAAAACTATTCCACACAGATGTTAAAGAAAGAGAAGTATCAAAGACTGACCCCTTAATATTTGGGAAATATGAGATATAGCTTTCCATCTCTGGTAGCATAATGGTTATGAATTGGGCTGCTAACCTCATGGTTAGCAGTTCAAAACTGCCAGCTGTTCCATGGGAGAAAGATGAGGCTTTCTGTTCCCATAAAGATTTACAGCCTCGGAAACCCTGTACCGACTCCACAGCACATATGTTTTTAAGTGAACTGGGCTCTGAAAACCCAGACTTACCAGACTTATCAGAAAGTTGAAGCACACCAGACTTAGGACCACAGAGGCCATGTTTTCAGCAAGTGGCAAGTTGGGCAGGAAATCCTAACCTTCCTGCATTCTTCTTTAGGAGGCATTTGCTCTGCTAGCCTAGGTTCAGATACATTTTCCTATGATACAGTTTCCTTATTGATGGCAGGATGGTCAATACCTTGAACAGCTAGCACTTAAACACAGAGTCTTCTCTTCTAAAACCAAACTGCCACCACTCGTCTGTCTGTCGTGCTGTGGTGGATTGAGTTGCTGTGATTCTGAGGACTATGCCACCGGTGTTTTAAATAACCAGCAGGGTCACCCATGGTGGACAGGTTTCAGATGAGCTTCCAGACAAAGACAGAC